AGCAACAAAGTATTGACAAATATAAAAAAACAATTTAAAACTAAGCTTAAAAACTATTGATATTTTGAAAGTATTTTAAAGTATTGCGTTGTTAATAAATTTAATTTTAAAATGCAAAAGTTTAACTAATTAAACAAAAATTATTAGGATAAATTTGGTATTAGAAAAATATTATATTTCTTTATAATTTATTTCTTAAAACAATCTTATACTTAACAAATCTTTTGTTAATCACAATTTATTATTTTTTTAAATTTTTACATATTTAATGTAGTTTTTTTAAATAAAGATCATAAGCAATTCATAGATAGATTTTATCAGTTCCAAAAAGATGCTTGTAAACACAATTTATGTTCATAAATATATCACAAAAAATCTTCAACAAAAGCACTTTTTCCTTTTTTATAAGAAAAAAAAAAATTCTTTTTGATTATAATAATCTATAATAATCCTTAAATAAGAGACATATTTTATGTAATGAATAAGCAGACAATTTAAAAAAAACTACTTAATAAAAATTGCAAAACTATTTTACATTCATTTGAAACTAAATTTTACCTTTTAACATTTTACTATTTTGAATTTTATTTTACATTTCTTCAAAGCTTTAACATTTTACTATTTTACATTTTATTTTACATTTTACAATTTTACATTTTATTTTACATTTTACTATTTTACATTTTATTTTACATTTTACTATTTTACATTTTATTTTACATTTTATTTTTTACATTTCTTCAAAACTTTAAATCTTTAAAATCATATTTGATTTTAAAGATTTTTTTTTTAAAGAATTTTTTTTTTGTTTCAACAAAACAATTAGTTTCTTTAAAAAATTCTCAGTTGTGGTTAAATGCTTTTTTTTTACCAATATTTTCTGAATTAGCATCACATAAACAAAGTTAAGATTATTTAAATATTCCAAAAAAAAAAAAGTTTTAGATTAACTGAAACGCTTTCGACATTAATGAAAAAGGCGAGCTGTGTAGCGCTTCTTAAGAAGGCCTGTCAATTTATTTTATTTTTAGCAAATTTAGTTCTATTACTTTATTGCTAAATCCTCAAATAAAATTTGTAAAAAAAAAATAAAAATAAAATAGTATTTTTGCTTAAACTCTTTAGTTTTTCTTTAGGAAGTATTTTATTAAATATGTTTAAATGCTTGTACAATTTTCTTATATTCTAGTTAATAATAGAAAATGAAACTTTGATTTAAAAAGTATAGTTTTATTATTATTTCAGATAGTTACTTTTCTTTTCATAGAATTCTTAAATTAAAAAAACAAACAAACTAAAGCTGCCAATAAAAATCAATAGTTGCCCTTTTGAGTGACTTAATTGCATAAAAGGAATATTTTTATTCACCCTTGACAAAATTTGGTTGTCTGGTACTGTTGGGTAACTACAAATGTACAACTCTTTAGTTTAATATTAAAAATACTCAATTCTGTACTAGAAAAAAGTTATATATATATATATATATATATATATATATATATATATATATATATATATATATATATATATATATATATATATATATATTTTTTTTTTTTTTTTTTTGCTTTTGCAAGCAACACTCCAGATCTTGTCATTACTGAAAATCCTGCAAGAATATTTTCAACTAGTATTGGTCCACCTCTGACCATCTTCACTTAACTCTTACTTGGAACAATAATATCAGCCAAAACCAAAAGACTGAATTATAGACTTGGTAATTACATAAAAATCACTCAAAATCAACTGTTCAAATTTTTACAAAGATCTGAACATTGAGCAAATATTGAGATCTGAACATTGAGCTAATAATGGACTCAAAGTTTTGCCATGCTTACTTTAATCTAATTAAATTATACATTCCCATGTATAATTTAATTAGACTATGTCCTAAAGAACGAACTTAAAGATCCAACCTAAATGGTTTACAAACAATTTGAGAAATTTAACTTAAATACAAGCTCTGGTTTAAAATATTCAGCTCAGCTAATAAATCCAATGCTATTATCGAATTTAAACAAATCTCAAAAGAAGTTAAAAAACAAATCAGCTTATCATTAAGAAATTACAAAAGAGTTCTCATATCCAAATGCAAGTCTAATCCAAAACTTTTGTACTCTAACTTAAATGCTCAAAATAAAATAAATTCTAAAATGCAATCAATAAAACTACATTCTAGCAAAGTTACTTTTGACCAACAGCAAATTACAAAACAGTTAAAAGAACACTTTTATTCAGTTTTTGATAATAATTGTTCGAATATCAATCATCCACCCCCGATTTTCAAATCAACACATCTAACATCAGTTTATTCAATCAGTCTTCTATCTCAATTTTGATAATTGATGCGCAGCTACTAAATCTTGACTCACACAAGACTCCTAGTGATGACAACATCCACCCTCAATCACTACACAAGTGTAGTGATTGAGGGTGTAGTGACTCCAGCTTCTCTTAAGCTCTTCTTCTGATCTTTGTTCATACCCTTTAAAATGGTACTCTTCCCATCTCTTGGAAATCAGTCATCACTCCAGTTTTCAAAAAAAGGAGACAAATAAATAGCTTCAAATTATCGACCAATCACCTTCACATCTGTACCTTGCAAGATCATGGAACACATAATTAAAGCAGTAATAATGAAACACCTTATTGATAACAATCTTCTCAATTCCGCACAGCACAGCTTTGTTCCCCAAAAAATCATGCTTAATAAAATTAATAAAATCAATTGACATTATCTCACTAACGCTAAATGAAGATAATGTAGCAAATCTTTTAATCTTAGATTTTGCAAAAGCCTTTGATCTTGTCCATTGCCAATCTCTTCTCCTTAAACTCAGTGGCTAAAATCTTTCTTGACCAGTTGAAGACAGAGAGTAGTCATAGATTCAAACTTGTAAAAATGGAAAAAGGAGGTCTCAAGGCTCTGCGTTGGGTCTGCTGCTTTTTATTATATTTATCAATGATTTTATTATCTTTGCAGTCTAGGGGTAATTTTAAGTAATTTTTTTCAAATTGCTTAAGTTATTTAAGTAGTTTTAAGTAATTTTAGTTATTTTCTGAACAATAAAAAATTACATCTAATATTACATTTTTGTGTGATATAGTATTATATAGGTATAACAAATCATAACCTAACTAAACTTTCAAAAATTTATACTAACTCATCAATGATGTTTTCAAATTTATAATAATAAAAAAGTCTAGAGCATTAAAGCATCTTTCTGTAACAATTGATGATGCTGATAAAAACTTCAAAGTACAGTACAATTCTTTAGACATTTTTGGGCGGTTATTTGATTCTTCAAATTCAGCCATTTCTTTTTTGATAAAAAACATTTAAGTAAGTCTTGTTTTTTATTAAATTGAAGTTTTGACCAAGAAATAGTGAAGTTCTTCAGTTTTATTCTTTTTTCGTAAAGGTTCTCTAGTTTTAACATTTAAGGCGATTAACGGTTAACCATTTTAATGATTTTTTTTTTTTTTTTAATTTTACTTCACCTCCTCAAGGCCGAGAAGGCCACTACAGACGAGGAGGCTACTTATTTTGTGGCTATAACCCTTTCTCAACTCTATAACTCCGAAACACGAACCTTGACAAACAAGGCCGCTGCGCGGAGAAACGAGTTGAGCGCGTTACTACCAGGGACGTGGTGGGGATCGAACTCGGAACCACTCGTTTATGAAGCAAGCGCTCTACCACTACACCACTACCGCACTAACGATTAACGAATAACGATCCTTAACGATTCTATCAGTTTTGCAAAAAAACATGTCACTATAAGCATAGAACAAAAGTCAATTATTAATCATGCAAGGAAATCGTTACTGTTTAATAATGACCAGGTTTGGATGAAAAAATCAGGCGGTTTGTTTGACATTACCATGGGTGCGTTTGATGGTGCTGAATGACGAGTAAAACGAGAATGAATTTTAGTTGATGGAACTAGAGATGATAACTCCTTTGAGCAGTGACCATGATAGTATTTGTAGAAAAGAGAAAGAAATGCAACTTTACGACGATGGGAAAGAGGCTCAAGCTTAGCAGATAGTCCAGGTCCAACAACATTTACAATGCGTTTTTGGACCTTGTCAAGAAGTGAATCGTTAGAAGAACCAGCCCAAATATGACAACAGTATTCCATACAGGGACGAATAAGAGATTTGTAGAGGTAGAAAATGGAATCAGAAGTAAGAAAATCAGCGTTATTTTTGCAAAAAGAAACAATATTTGCTGTAAAAACATTAAAAAAAATGGAGTAAGTCCCCAAATTTTAATTTGGGCAGCGCCCAAATACAGTCAATGCTGTCCAAAGCGGTCTAGAATAGCCCCTGTAATGAGTAATTACTTCTAATTACCCATGTCTTAGTTTTTTTTTCTATGTGAAAAAGCATATCCTTTAAGCAAGGCATTTTCAGATCTCTTTTGTTTGGAGATTTAAAACCTTTGTAATATTGTTAACAAAAAAGTTTGATATAAATTTGAAAAATTTTTACCTTCTACCTTCACAAATGGTTTAATTGTGAATTAAATCTTTATCCAGATAAGCTGAGTTATATACTGAAAAATCTCTTTGAGTACTTGGAGTTTCTTAGAGAATTGAGGGAATCAAAGGGATTATAGTACCAAAAATAAAGGTAAATTCTTGTTTCTAGAATCCTAAGATTTGAGTGCATTAATAGCTATCATCAGTTTGAGAAAAATAAAACTATATAAAAGTCACAAGTTTTTTCTATTACGGACTATTGACCAAATATTGTAATATTATTACAATTATTACAATTATTGAAATAAATGTAGAATATTGGAAGAAATAAGGTTTTGTTATGAAAATAATTTTAATCAAAATAATAGAAGAGATCCTTAAATATGTTTCAAATCTCAAAACTTAATAAAATAAGTCCTTTTTTAGACCAATAAACTACAGTAAAATAGTATTTATTTTTGGACTGAAAAACTATTGAGGATTTAAAAACTAGTAAAATTATTTCTCTTTAAGTTGCTTCGTGAGCTGTCTCATCCAAATGTTATCAATCTGAGAAGAGTTTTTTTATCTCATGCTGACAGGAAAGTGTGGCTTCTTGTTGACTATTCAGAGTATGACTTGTGGGTAATAATTTAATAATATGTTTTATGAAGTATGTTCTATTTTTGATTTGTTAACTTTAAAATTTTTTTAGCATATTATAAAATTTCACCGAACCTCTAAAGCTCATAAAAAATCTGTTGCTGTTCCTCAAAGTATGGTAAAATCTCTTCTTTATCAAATACTTGATGGGATACATTATTTGCATGCAAATTGGGTGCTTCATAGAGATCTGGTAATTTTTGTATACTTTTTACAAATGTTGATAAATTTTAATTGAAATTTTTTTTTTGTGTGTGTATATTTTTATCAATTATTAAAGTACCTCGGGATTGGGTTTGAAGTTTGGCGATTCCAACCTAGTGACTGGCAACTTTGTGTCTGAGGTCTGCAATTTTTTGCTGACTTTCTTTTTATGTTGTCATGGTAAAACCCCTGTGTTAAAACATTTGATGCTCTCCAAAAATAAGTTGGCAATAAATTACAGACATTATTTTTTCTAATTTTACACGTTAACGTAATAATTTAAATTTTTTTATCTTTTCCACAAAATCGAGTTCTTCTTTAGTGTGTCATCTCTACATAAAGATGTAGCTATATGTAGCAATGCATACAATATCACTAAGCTTAAATTATGATAAAGTATTATGCATAACACATTTTATGTACAGGATTAGCATTTATAGTTAAAGGGCTATGCTTTTTATGTTACACTTTTGTATTTAAATTTTATTTTGTATTTAAAGTGTTTAAATATGTGTTAAGGTATCTTATAATTAGTTTTATAAATAAAATAGTTATTCACCTTAACACCTTGACTTTACTTTTAATTTACATTTATAAATTGACCTAAGGTTTCAAAAAAAAAATTTTTAAAAGACTTAGTTAAATTGGTATTTTAATTTTTTATTTATTAAAGGTCTGCATTTTAAGAAAGTATTCAAACTAAATAGTGCATTACATTTTTAAATTTTTCTTTCATTTAAATAAAAAAAGGATTTTTTCATTATCTCAAATATTACTAAGTTTTATATGTTTAACAAGAAGTAAAAAAAGTGCAGATATGTAATTTTTACTAGCAAATTTTCTTTTGAAATTCAACACATGGCAACTTAATTAATAGAATAAAAGTTTTTCTTTTGAGTTGGTTCTTAAATAAAATGTCTTTTCAGTAATATAGCAAATTGTTGTAGTTTCAAAAAAGTTTTTAATAAAAAAAAGCAATTAAAAAGAATTTAATGACATCATATATCACATTATGCATTAAACATTTTTTTATTGGTCGCAAGACCTGATAATTCTTTATTTTTTTATATGTGTTGTCTTTTTTATAATGTGTTGTCTTCTTTAATTGTTGACGTAGAATAGAAAAGATTATTTTTGTGAACAATAAATTCACAAAAATATTTTTTTTAGAAACCAGCAAACATTCTTGTAATGGGTGATGGGTTTGAAAGAGGGACTGTTAAAATTGGTATCTATTACAGATTTATTATGTCAACACAATTTCATCAATTTTTTTTTTTGCCTCTTTTTTTTAAAAAAAAAATTCTAATAATTTAGAAGATTAATGAGATATATATAGAACTATATATTTAGCCGATATGGGTTTTGCCAGATTGTTTAATGCTCCTCTAAAACCACTTGCTGATCTTGATCCAGTTGTTGTCACTTTTTGGTACAGAGCTCCAGAGCTACTTCTTGGTGCTCGACATTATACAAAAGCAATTGGTAAAATATTTTTAGAATGAAATGTGATATAAATGTGAAACTAGACAATTTAATATATATTTTGTGCTCTTTAGTTCTTTAAATCAGGCTTGGTCGGGAAGCGGGAGCGATCGCTCTCGATTGCTGACCACGTAAATAATATTTAGTTGCGAAAAGCTGGCCAGATTTTTTAGTCGTTTTGAGAACATTTTAAAAAGCAAAAAAAAAAAAGTGACGAAGATTAATTGGACCGACGAGAGACAATTACAAAAAAAAAAAAAGTAGGCAAATAAAATATCTTTAACGCGAAAAAATTTAAAGCTAAATAAATTACATTTAAAACAAATATTTTCGAAACATCGCTCTTTTATAATTTTTTTTATAAAATTAAGCAATGTTTTTTATAGAAACATCAACTTTTTATAGAAAAATACAACCGTCAACTTAAAAGATTGTTTAAAAGGAAAACAAATATTCTTTATTTAACTAAGTTTGCAAGTTTTAGTTTTACTTAAGCTTAATTTATTTTATAAATAAAAAAGTTAATTTTTTCAATACCTATTTTATGTTTCGCGTAGTTTGAAAAGTTTAACATATTTAAAGCGATTCTTCTTAGTAAGATAAACAAATGAAATAATTAAATCATTGAATTACTATAAGAATTAAATTATCAAGATAGAAATCAACTAAAAAGGTTAAAAAT